GACGTCAATGTTAATTTCATATTATTATATGTGAAAAATTTAGTTTTACTTCAGTTGAGATTTAGGAAATTTGCTGCAAGTGAACCTTAGATATTTTTATAATTTGATGCACAATTGAAGCCCTTGTAGAAACTTCATGTCATGGAAACTTTCCTTGTGTTAAGTTTACAAAAGATCTGACCCTCATAATCAATAAAGATATTCGCATTATCCTATTTCCCGACTTCACAACTAGAACAAAGAACTCTTTATAAACTAATGAGATTCGGCACTTACTCAAGGTGCTTTTCAAAATCTAATTTTGAATTTTATTAAAAGGCTTTAAACACTTAATAATTTCGTCCCCAACAAACGCTCCAATGTTTATCTCGAAGAGGATTATATTCACGGACGCTTCGGAGTCGGAATCAATGTTAATGGAACGAAACTAATTTCTGTCAAATACAGTGGCGACATCTTAAGGCGGAACCGTTCCGAGTAAACACTTAAACACAGGTACTTAAAAGATATTGGGCATTTAATAAAACATTTCTGAGTGAAATGAAGCGTAAAATAGAGTTCCTTCTAGAGATTAGATCCTTTTGTCGGGGGGGCCCCGACTCGGCGAGGAAATCACAAGGAAATTGCTCAGCAGCCGTCGCACCACACCCGTTGCAAAAGCGAAATATCTCGATGTGAATTGTAGTAATGCACTGCTAAATGAATTAGCTACGCAAACGCTGACCGAGACTGAATTATTTTAGTTTTATGCGTAAAATTGTGCTTTTGTTTTCTAAAACTTCGTCAAAGTGCGCTTCATATTTACCGTGAGTTGCACCAACTCACTTTAACTATAATTGTTTATTTGTTTCTAAGGTTTTCACGCACATCACTCATTAAATAAAACTAGTTTTAACTGGTTAGATGTTTAGACGCATTCCTGCAAAGCATGCGAAACGTCAATAAATAAATAAATTCAGTACATCTAACCCGTTAAAACTAGTTTTATTTAACTGTTTAGTTATACTACCGGTTAGGTAAAAAATAGGTTACATCATTTGACTACAGTCAAAATGAGGTTACAAACAAGTTAAACTTAGCCTTCAATTCAAATTATGATATGACCTCATTTTTACTATCGTCAAATTGCGGTTGCGGGTTGCACACATATTGTTTACGTAACCGGAACTTTAACTGAACAGTTAAAGTTAAAGCAAGTTGGTGCAACTTACCCTTAAAGCTTTAAACAATAAATATGAAGCGTATGTCATGGATGTATTATTTATACTTTTCTACTTAATTGTAATTATACGTTATATATTAACCATAGAGCAAGCTACGCTTGGTTTGAAGTTAGATGAGTGCTGTAGTGTTGTCAAATATTTATTTATTATATTTATATTTGAAAAAAAACAACCGAACTGCAGAGTCCACTGAGTATTGTATTATTTTCAAGCGAATTTCATCAGCTTTCTTGTGAAAATTATAACAAATAGCATTATAATTATTGAATAATGAGATTGGGTAAAGCATCTTTGCCATATCAAATAATGTCAGTTTAAAATAATAATATAATAATAATTGTTAATGTAAGGCATAACAAACACAATAAAAAGTCACATACAAAATAACAAAATAGTAAAAGTGTAAATAAAATTATAATATTTAAAGTTAAATAAAATCATAAAAGAACAGTAAAAGTAAAACAGGTAATATAACCTACGTCATTTAAGGTTCTCACTCTGGTGCACAGATATTCAGTATTTAAATAAAGGATTTTCTAGTCCTTTGCATACACTTTTGATAAGGCTGTTATCAGAAAGACATATTCGTGACCAAAAAGAGGCTTTACGTCTTCTCATTTTTCTCATCTTCATTCATCATACTTCATCTTTATTTGAATACTACAAATAAAGGCACAACACTGGAAATAATTAACGGAAAAAAGTCCATTAGCGACCGCTTATACAGAACAACGAGTTTCATACTTACGCCGCCGGTGCCGAGCAGTTAGTTCCATTCGAAGCGCAATTCTCTATTGATATTTACGACCGTAACGATTAAACTTTCACAACAATGAAATACGTGCCGAATGCAGCCAGCGGGCCGGCGTATGACGACTACGGGCCGTCCATATGTAAAATGTAACTGGAACATTAGTTTTCCTTAGGTAAGAAGACGTAAGGAAGGTAGTGGGCGACCGATGTACCTACAGTGGTCCTACATTAGACAAAAGGAGGCTAAACCATAACATGATTATCTAACAAAGTTTCACTGAATGTCAATTTGATGCAACGCAATAAGTTGCCGGCATAACAGAACGACCATAAAATATCAATAATAAATGTAACTGTGACGCAATATGACGACCTCCGTGGCCGAGTGGTTTGCACGCCGGGTTTCATGGTTTCGCCGACTCGAGAGGTCCCAGTGGGGCCAGATGTTAGTGTGGGGTTCGAATCCCAGTGGGGCCAGATGTTAGTGTGATGAATACGAGTATTTGTATGTATAATATGTATTTCTATATAAATATACTTTATGTATTCTATCCGTTACCCTAGTATCCCATAACATAAGCCTTACAGTTCTTACTTTGGGGCTAGGCTAATTGGTGTGTTGGAAATATTTATTAAAAAAAAAACAATAGTAATATTGCGTACAGTCTTATAGGGTTAGCGGTAGGCAACTCAATAGTCGCAAACTGCTAGAGTTTGCAACTGCACGGAGGCAGATGAAAAGTCGCCTTCCACGAAGTTTTAATGGCTCAACCGCCTCAGCGGTTAGTTGGAGGGTGTATTGTATGTGAAAACACGCACACTTCACTTCACTGGGACTTTTATCTGGCGATACGCTCCGTACATCGGTAATAACTTTTACAGCATTGAAATGTGCTGTTGTTATTTTTCAATTTTATCTTTTTTTATTATTGTTAGCTATAAAATTTAAATGTTGCAATTTCTTAATGTAATCTGTTATAATCTGTAACTACGGTTTAAACATTATGTAAGTTGCGATGAGTAATTTAACTTTATTATTTTTTTACAGGTAGGTGGACACTTTATAAATTCTTAAAATCAACCGTCATCGGAGTCGAGTTTATATATATTTCGTGGAAGATTGGAATGTATTCAGTAATAACATTATTTTTGAAGAAACTTAATCTTTTCAAATTTTCCTTCTGCTTAGTGACGGCGTTCCAACTTTAGCAATTCGGCCCCAGGGACAAAGTACGTGTATTTTCTGATGATGTCGTGGTCCTATGCATCAAAAACTAGATGTTTGAAGACAAGCGGTCTTGAAACATTACCCAATAGCAAAAAGCAACTATCTTGCTCAAACATAAAATAAGAAGCTTCAACTGATACTGATGATAACAGTAAATTACTATTATTGTAATTACCTACATTGTTTAACATTGCTTCTACTGTATTACACACACACGTTTATTTTTTATTGTTGTTTTTATATGTTAAAAATATCAATATATCTGATTTTTAAAAGTGAAGACTTGATAGTGGCCATTTGTAACTTATATTTTATCAACTATTTACATTTATAGGAGCTGTTGGTCTTCCAAAATAAAAAAAGTCGTACAAGAATTTACAAAAGTCTTTTATTTTAATAATAGAATCGATCAGTAACCGTCCTATAAAATATCACATATCAACAAAGAACAGTTGAAAGTGGTTACGCAAAATGGATCCAAACCGCTATTTTGGTCTTTTTCAGTGATAGGGAATCACTGAAAAAGAACTTATTTGAAGCTTTTCTTGAAATTACCATTAGTTGCTTTAATCTAAATACCCACGATGTTTAGGTACAATTTGTTACAAGCAAACTTTGTACATCTACATATGTGTTGCTTGGTGCCTATTAATTGCTGGATGATATACGTGACCTCATCAGTACCCACTAACCGCAGATTGGACTAACCGCAAGACAGTCTGCGCACAACGCAAATTAGTTTAATTGAGATATCTTAATGATGCTGCTAAAGGTAAATTTGATTTCTTGCATAAAAATCTTCTTTTTGCCATCCTTTATTATGTAAAGCCCATCCTTAAGTAATGGTGTGATAACCCCGTAACCGTTTTTATTGTCACGCCATCCATAATTAGCTCTATTGAGCATTTTATACCAATTGTTTTTAAATGAAAAAAAAAATTAAAACAAAAAACTTAATTCCTGCTTCAAAATCGATAATGTAACTAAAAAGTAAAAATAGTATGCCGTTTACATGAAATCGGACAGGTCCTAGTATGATTTGTAAGTCGGGTGGTTTTCGAAATACTCATGAAAACTACTGACTCAAACTAAATTTAATTTTTATGTGACTAAATGGCAAGTATCTCTCATTGAACAAAAAATAATCACTCAAATTGGATCAGAAATCTTTACATAATCGGTGTACATATTATAAACAAAGTACCGTGAAAATAACATCTTTCAAGTCAACAAAAATGCTCATAAAATAAGAACTTACTATGCCAAACTCAATTAAATTGTTATGGGACTATACGTTATACAAAAAAAATGGGGAATATTCCGCATCAGACAAAAAAATAATCACGTTATTCGGATCAGAAATCTTGAAGTAATCGGTATACATACAAAAAAAAGTACAACGACCGAATTGAGAACCTCCTCTTTAATGAAGTCGGATAAAATGAGATAAAGACGCAACCGAGTCCTTCAATTGGGACTTAAAAGTATACATGATCAAGCTTTTATTTCTAATCGATCTTTAGCTTGCACACTGTTAAACTAAAGGTCGCAAGTATCTCTGTTATAAATCTCAAAGCACGATATCATTTCTTAAAATCATCAAAATTATTATATTTGTTTAAGCATTATATAAATCTTAAGAATATTTTCTTAAGATTTATATACTGCTTAAACAAGTTTTCTTTGATTTTGTAAATATTTTCTTTAGATCTAGTTTATGAATGTTATGGTCGGATCCATTTTTAGGAAAGCAAGTCGAGTCCATGTTACATAACCACGTCCACTCATAAATTAATCTACTTCTCCTTCTTATCTTCGGACTCGTCGTCGCTATATTTGCTGGGCGTCTCCCCCGGTTTCAGTAAGCGGCCAACGATGTCATATTTTTCTGGAACAAAACAAAAATTTCGTTTATTAGAAATTATGTCTTCACTTTTGGCGGCGGGGCTTAATTTGAATTGACATTGGCTTCGAAAACAATGTTTATTTTCAGATGGAAAATATATAAATAGACATTCTATTCAGAATACTGTGTCAGAGTAGTTATAATATTAAAAGGCTGTGTTATAAGAAAATAATAATAAGGGAGTATACTCTAATTAGGCACCCACAACGACACAAAAAAGATATGTTGAGCATATTGGCCAAAGAACTCGGAAGTATATCATACCAAAAATTTTTAACAACATAAGCCCAAAAATGTAAAAATGTAGAGGTAAACATATATTTAAAAGAAAATTAAAAAAAGTTATTTTGGATAATTTTGCTGTAGAGGACTTTGGTTAAGAGTAAGTATCCTACGTGCGAACCAGCGCATAGGATACTTACTGTGTGCCAAATTTTGTATAGTAGTGGTGGGTATATATATATATAAAAAGAAAAAAAGAAAAAAAATGTAAAGAACGTATTATTCGCCAACAAACTGACTTTTCAGTTTGGCGAAATAAGTTGTTTTTGTATACCTGTATTTCCAGTGAAAATTAAAAAAAATCAACGGGGATTTACAAAGCGAAATTTTCGTCACTAAAGCTTTTTAAAAGCTCAAAGCAGCGTGTACAACGAAATTATACGCTTATAATTTTACGCTTGATTAAAAAATTATACGCTTCGTTCGTTTCATTTAAATACTACAAATATAACCTATATATTTTACGGATCGCATTTTGAATCACTGGCTGTGTTTTGTACAGTTCACCAAGTTATCCAAAACTGTGATAATAAAAAGACTTTATCTGCTAAACTCATTATTCTGAGTGTGTAATAACATAGAAACAACAATATACGTTAAGCATGCGTACCTATTCAAAATGTGAACGAACGCGTTTACTTTATGTCAAACTCAATGTTTGAATATGGTTAAAATCTATGTCCCTGCCACTAAACAGGGACCGTCAAATCTACTTATATTATGTATATGTCATAAAATATAACCCAACTACAGCGCCGCTCCTAGCCCTTGATCAGTACCTTTCCGAACCTTTTGGTCGAGGTTTTGTCTTCTGCTTGTGTTTAATAAATAAAATTTTCGAAATTGCTTTCTCCTCTTGCTCAACCGTAGAGCCGGAGCTGCCCACTAATTGAAATTGTTCGCCACATTCAATACTATATCCGTATATATTATTGAAAATATTGTCTCAATGTTTTATATTACATTTGATTAAATAGCAATTGACAAATATTATCGCTATATAACTTGGTAGAAGGTCGTGTCGAATTTTCTCAAATATATCAAGATGGGCTGAGCAGTGCCTCTTCTTCACATCTCAGGCAACTATAATGTCAAATGAGATACTTTTGCAATTTCCATACATTGAAAAGAAGAAATAGCAATGTAGATAAGAAAATTTTGTAGAAAAAAGTTGTTTTTCTTTACATTTATGGCCTGCACAAACGAGGGACTTCTGTCCATGGAAGACAAAAGTCCCTGAATCGTAAACAATGTCCGGAATGTTGTTACTCAGAAATTAGAGAAAAGCTCGCTATAGAAGAAAATGTTCTCAGATTACGTTGTATTGTAATTAAAATTTAGTTTAAGAATAAGATTAGACTTTTTAAAAGAGAATACTGGGGTCATCCTTTTAATAGCCTGCGCAGACGAGGGACTTTTGTCCGCGGAGGACTTTTGCCCGCTGAAATAGATCGCTTACAGCTCCATTGAGTAATTCCCACGACGGATTAAAAATACCGGGAATATAAAGTCCCCTGAACTACCGCGGACACATTATACAGCTAGCATACTTGCATACTAGCTTAGCAGTAGGCAGACACCGCAACCGTAGGATAACAGTGTCTAGATCACACACAACAACCTATACCAGATACAGGTACGTACCTGGGCGTTTTTCCCCGCTTTTTGGCTTACTAGAGGTCCAAGTCTCAGAGACGCTATCTAGTTGAGCAGAAACCCTCAGGTTCGAGTGGTCTAGAAACTCCAGACGGAGAGGAGACTCTCCCGAGGAGATGGCATCCGCATGGAATACCTCTAGAGGCACTCGTCAATTCTCGGGAGGTTCCCTTAGGACCTCGCCGTCCCCAAATTCGGTGACGCGTAAAGGTCATCTTCGATCAACAGCATATACGCTCAATAAAAAAAAGGACACCGAGGGACCAGACAGGACAAAAGTACACGAGAGACCGTGAAAAAAATAGAACATATTATGTGACAAGTGGCGGCAACGCACGCAGCGGACTTGAGTGCGCGTCCGCGAGAGTGATATTCCTACTTATGCACAATGGCGTATGAAATCGATTGTAAAATATTAATAAAAGAAGTGGAAAACAGACCTCTTTTATACGACACTTCCTAAATGGCGAAATATTTGTCCAGGGATTTTATTTTGCATCTATAGATTTTATCTTCCGAAATTAAAATAAAATAATCTAAACGGATTTATCAAATAATTGAGGAGGGTTGTCTAAGACTGGAATAAAAAACTTAAAATATAGGAAAGACAATCAACTTATAAGTAACCACATTTTTTATTGTGGCTTAACTTCATGTCTTTTGAGCCTATTATTTTAAGTGATTTCCGTGATTAAATCAACTTTAAGTATGATCTTCATATGATTTGCATAGCTTTACGCGTAAACTATATTCAATTATCTTTCAGAGAGATCTTAAAACATTTTTTTATTCCATACTACAGATAAAGCATGATAAATAATCTTAACGATACAAATATATAATCAATCCGATATAAAAGGATGAACCCAGTTTTTCTTTTGGAAAGTCTTCTCTTTTTCTTAAACTTCAAGTTAATTAGAATACAACGTAATCTCAGAATATTACTACCATGGCGTGCACTTTACTCAATTTCTGACCAACAAATGTCCTCACACCGTGTGCGTTGACACGTGACAAGTCCTCGGCAGACAGTTTTTAAATGATATGGGGAGAAAAGTCCTCCGCGGACAAAAGTCCGTCAACTGCGCAGGCCATAAACGGATCGAGCGCGCAACTCGGACTAGAGTTTGCTGTGTGTGTTGTACGAGTTTTATTTTTTTCGGGGACTCTCCGCGTACCTATCAAGTCTGGTCACTCGGTGTCCTAAGTTGTTCAGGGGACTTTTTGTACGCGGTACTGTCAATCCGCCGTTCGTTACTTCAGTTAGTTACTTCTTTTTTGTCAAAAGTCCCTCATCTGCTCGGGAGGTCTACTCTATTTGAACGAAGAACGAAATTTCGATCGAAATTTCGCACGTCCCTTACTCTGTTTTCTTTTCATTTCGAAAATTAGTTCGTCGGGAAATAGTTTGACAATTAAATTCTCCAAGCCTACTCTAATTCATAAAACTTTCGAACATAAAGTAGAATTTGACAAATAATTCTGTTCGTTCTGGACATATTCCATTAAATAAATTCTTGTTTTTTTTTAAAAAAATCAATTCCCCTAATTGCGAAATATGTGAGAAAGTGGAGGATGTTAATGGAATGCGTCAAGAATGAAACGGAAAGGAGACATGCATTCTCCATCCTTAAAATTAATAAGTTTGAAACTGGCATATTGCAGGGCATCCTAGTTAACCCCCTATCGGAGGAGGCTGGTGTGCTTTGCAATATGGCAGCAAAAGTTTTATGTAATAGTTAAGTTATAATTTTAAGAAAATTGTATGGTCAGGTTACGATGGGGCTGGTATGGACATTTAGGTCCAAAAGTCCCTAAACATTAAAAAAAAAATTAATAATTGATCGAAATTTTCACCTCAAATTGACGAAATGAAAATGCCTTTTCGTTTTCGTTTTGAGATTTTAGTTTTATTTATGTCTAAAATGCTTGTAAAAGTATTTTTGCTCAAGGCTGCTTACGAGCTGCCATTGGGAGATTAACACAGTATGTCAACAACAATCAGTCACGTTTTTGTAATAAAGTCCAAAAAATATTAAAAATAAATAAAAAAGACTCTAGTCATGAAAAATACAATTATAACGCTATAGAAGTTTTAGACACATTAAAGCAAAAACTAGCTATAAAAAGTCACTGTCTAGCTCGCTACTTAAAGGCATTAAATAGAAAAGAAGACAATAGGAAATTTCTATTTAATGAAAAAACATTCTATAGAAAGCTTAACAAAAAAAAACTGTATCGATATTAGTGCAGAAATACCAAATAAAGACCAACTCAGAAATTATTGGGCCGATTTATGGGAAAAAGAAGGCAGTCATAATGACCGAACAGAATGGATAAAGGAGGAAGAGTTAAAGTGGGAACATATAAATGAGATGGAATTTACGGATATCACCAAAGAAGACATAGAATTAGTTTTAAAAAAGTAAGTATACTGGAAAGCTCCCGGCGTGGACGGGATACATAATTTTTGGTATAAAAAACTGACTGCAATTCATAACATACTTGCTAGGGTTTCCTCGAACTTAATTAAAGGCGATGAAGAGTTACCAAGTTTTATAACAAAAGGTATAACTTATATGTTACCAAAAAGTACCAACACAACCGACCCTTCAAAATATAGACCAATAACTTGCCTCCCGACTATTTATAAAATTATTACATCATGTCTAACAGTTAGGATAAATAAACACTTGGTGTTCTATAATATACTTGCTGAGGAGCAAAAAGGTTGTCGACAAAATCACAGAGGATGCAAAGAGCAACTAATAATAGACTCTACTATATTAAAACATGCAAATAAATACAAAAGAAATATACATTTGACATACATATTATAAGAAAGCTTTTGATAGTGTTCCACATTCATGGTTAGTTAGAATTTTACAGATATATAAAATTAAGCCAACTATAATTACATTCTTAGAAATTGCTATGGCTGACTGGAAAACTACACTCCATCTTTCTTCTAATATAGAAAAGATAGTAACAAACGAAATACATATTAAGAACGGCATATTTCAAGGTGATTCTCTAAGTCCTCT